TTCCAAATTTTTGTCTAAGATAGATATATATATATAATCGTGATTTATTTTTTGTCTATTAGGTGTTACTGTCCATTTGAAACATCCGATAGGTAAATCACATCTAAACTGAATCTAGTATAAAATATAAAACGAATGTCCTGTCTTGCTTGTGATATTAATAAAATATTGACAAATACCATTTATATATCTTATACTGTCCCATATCCCATCATCCGATCTTTGAAGCTCAATTCAATTCGGAAACCTAAAAAGTGATAAAACAAAAGGACCCACATGTAGTAATCTTTTCGATTCCGATGTTTTAATATGTATTATTTGTCTTCGGAGTTTACTTCATTGGCCTTTTCGACCAATTCACAAACGGCGGATTTAGCTACGGCATCTGATACCATTACCTTGTCTTCATTCTCTCCCATCATATCGTTCTCTTTATTCATTTCCGATGCCTCGCGAACATCCTCTAAGAATTTCACCGGATTAACAAATGAGAGCGGTGGCACCGGCTCAGTTGGAAGAGGCGTAATAGGTTGTGTGGCCGGAAGCGCCTGTTTTATTGACAATCTGCTTCTTGCTGGATTGATCTCGAAAATTTGATCTTCAACTTTTGTAAATTCGATCGTAACGTTTTCTTCATTAATATTTTCACTAATGATTTCACGTTGTCCTGTTAAATCCTCAATAAGTTTATTGGCGTAGGCATTTATCTTAGAGTTCAACTCTAATGAATCGGGTATTGGCCGTGCTTTAAATTTTCTGGAAGCGAATCCAATAGCTGGTTTTTGATATGGGGTGAATTGGCGATCCTTGGTTCTGCTAAAAAGACGTGCGCTCGACGTTACCGCGTTATTAGATGTTACCTGTGATCGCTTGACCGGTGTGGAAACTGCAGATATGGATACTGATATGGTGGCAGTTGTGGTCAATCCGTCAGCTGTCGTGGTCGCAGTCGCTGTTACTTTCGTTGGCTTCGGAGTAGAATTCATTATAGAATTTGATTCCTTCACCGCAGGTTTACCATAGGTAACGGGTGCGGACTTTTTCTTGATGTTAACGGGGGGTTGCGCTTTTTTGTTAGCCTTGGAAGGACTAACGACTGGGGCACTCACTGTGCGAGATGGTGGCGGAGGTCGAGTGGATTTGGTATTGGTCTTGCTATTATTATTCAACACACGGCTTGCCTTTGTCTTTTCCTCATTTATTGTACCTGTACGATCCTTGGGTCTAACACGTTGAGCGCCTCCTTTTTTTATGTGATTTCGATAATGCAGGTATTATATATAATAAATATTAAATCTAACCTTTATAATTATATTAATGAATTTTTTTCTTTTTTTTTGTTTTCTTATTTTTTTTTTTTTTTAAGAGTGCATATTGTAAGTCATTTTGTTTACTAGCTTATTTATCTAACTCACCATTACCAATTTGGTTTTCTCTATTATGCGTAGTTAAACTGCTAGTCGATTGTGCTTTGGTAGGTTTAGAAGGTACGCGCTGAGCAGATGAATTGATGACAGGTTGGGATTTAAGGCGTTGAGCTGACGTTAACTTCGGTCTTTTCATTGCAGCAAATCCGGTAACTGTCGTTGTGACACCCATACTTTGTGGCTCATCGAAAGCGATAACGAAAGAAGTAGAATCTTCCGAGATAATCGATTCTTGAGAATTAACACCATTACTGTTTTCATTTGATAATGGTACAACTGGCATGGTTGATGGATTAGGATTTTCTTTCTCCGTCGCTACCGGATTTTCAGACTTATCTTTTGATAGTGGCAGTCTCAAATCTACGGCAAATTCACTGTCCTCTTGTCCCACTAATTTCTTCTCGGAAATAGAAACGCCATTATCCAACTTCTTTTCGCCATCCTTCAGATATATAACAATATCATTTTGAAGCTTTTGCGCATTATCTTTACGATTTGGTTGTAATGCCCTGATTCGTGGACGTTGACTAGTTTTTGTCGATTGTTCTAACACGCCCAAGTTTTTCTTCACTTGAGAAGTTAAAGTGGCAATAAAGCTGAAAATTAAATCAACAAATCAATAACCGATGAGAAAAACATAAAACAAAATCTTAATTATGTGTACTTACTCTTCCAATCGCAAATCAAATTTAGTTTTGTAAATTTCAAATGTCTTTTTTGTGGTTGAACGAACGGCAGGTGTAGAATCTATAGCACCTTCCCGTATGAGCCACTCCAGATCAGAAATGTAATTATTCAAGTTTCCCACTTCATTGACCTCAATACTAATTAATACAAACTCGGCCACACAAGTCCTTAACGTTTTACTCTGACCTTGCATCGAATCTTTGAATTTTGGTATCAAATTTGGAAGTTGACAATCTCGAATGATAGTTACCATACACTTCTGAGCTCGACTAACAAAAATTTTATTGGCGCGCGTACATAATTTTAAAATCGCTGGCACATATACGTCAGAGAACATTTCAAATTTTTGCCCAAGAACTTTAGCAAGTTCCTCCAATAACTCGGTTGCGGTACCAGATAATCGCGTCCGTTCCGTTAGCAACTGTTCACCCAAAGTCATAACAATTAGTAAACGACTCAGAATTAACAAATAAAAAAATTTTTTTTCCATATACGTACCGAATCCAGAATAGGCTGTCTCAACGACTTAATACTGTTAATAAATATTTTTTCGTAATTCGTAGCACCACCGCGAGAAAGGGCAATGAGACGTTTTAATGCATCATCAAACAATTGCCATGTGTGTTCAGTTTCTTTTTGTTGAAATATTTCCTGGATTTTTTTGATTTCATTATCCAGTTGTCCAGCACTTTCAACCTTTGAATCACAAGAAAAGCATTTAAAAAAAAAAAATCCTTGCATTTAATACATTTCGAAAGCAAGTTGGTGCGGATCCGCATGGAACTATGAAAAGATGAAATGTGAACCTTGCGAACCGAATTCTTACCTTAATTTCAGTCATTTTCAATGGCTAAGGTGGCACGAAAATTATAATGGTAAAGTATTTTTATGGGAAGTCAAGCATAAATTCAATAGTGTTGGCGCTATTTATTATTGCCAGTTGGGTCCGAGACGTATGTATAAAACACGACAACCTAACACGACATTTTCCTGTTTATAAAAAAAATAAACAATAATCCCTCACGTGAGATCGTCAAATTTAAATGTGCGAATGATTTGTCGCTTATTATATTAAACCACAAATATTGTTAATCAAATACTTTATATAGAAATTAATAATTACGTGTATTATATTAAAATTATTGATAAATAAATTCTCGTTATCCTGTTTGTCACGTGACTAGTGTTTATAACGCGTCAAAAGTAATTATCAGGAAGATTAACTCAACTTCGCTAAAGTATATTTGATGATGATTCCAACACTGGAAGAGGAAATAAAACCACAGAGCATGCCCAGTGGACCAAGAAATGTGCTCCGATCCAATGACTCTGCGAGTCTATGGAATTGTACACTTTCTCCTGGTATTAAAAAAACTATATCGTGAACTTTAACGTTGTGTTATACTGACTTAAAGAAATAACAGGTTGGTCACGAGAAGAAAGTGACATATTACGAAAGGCACTAATGAAGTTCGGGATAGGAAACTGGGCGAAAATCATTGATTCACAGTGTCTGCCTGGAAAAACTAATGCGCAAATGAACTTACAACTACAAAGAATGTTGGGACAACAGAGTACAGCAGGTAAATGAGTGATTTTTCTTGAATGCATTCGACTTAATGAGCACCGATACTATAATTTCTAATTCAAAACGTTAATGCAGAATTCGCGGGCTTACACATTGACCCCCTTGTTATTGGAGAAAAGAATTCAAAGATTCAAGGCCCAGACATAAAACGTAAAAATAATTGCATCGTTAATACTGGGGGTAAGTTCGTGAACAAAACCTGAACACTAGCTTTACTATCCAGTAATAATATTATTATCTAATTTTATAGGAAAGCTATCAAAGGAAGAGATAAAACGAAGATTACTGCAAAATAAACAATTGTATATCAGTATGTCAATTTAATGTGTCGTTTGGGGACAAATTTTGATTGTTTCTTCACTTTACAAATAGATACGAGATCACAGAGGAAGAATGGAACAAGATTGAATTGCCAAGGCCTGAAGATGTAAATATATTTATTTTATTTCAAGAATATGTGCAATTATTCAATAATAGACATTTAAATCAACTAAGATTACATAAATTTTAAGCAACAATTAGGTATTTGAAGTTTGGATTATGAAGGTATGAATGAAAGATTAAACTCACAATCGTTATGTATGTAGTTTTAGAATCGAAATACGATGAACTCCATCGTTTACAGCAAGAACTCGAAAACGTTCAAGCACAAATTGCCAACATAAGGCGTATACAACGTGGAGAGGTTTGTTATTATTCTTCTGATATTCGGCAAATATCACAAACTCGACTTACGCGTTGCTTTCTTGATTAGAATCTGGAAACGGTTGAACCATCATCATTTAAGGAAATTTTAAAAATGGAAAATGGAAAACAGAGATCAACCCGTAATAGTAAAAGGACGAAGCGGAAATGAAATAGTACATATAGTACTAACCTTATTACATTTAAAATACTTTACACACCTTAAAAGTAGAGATTCATGATTTTTTGCCAATATTCATGTATAATTTACGTTCTTGTACCGAAAATTTTTCTATACTATATCTCAACATGATTCTTGGCATGTTCTGCGCGTGCTGATCCAAAAACTTGACGAGTGTTTCTTTTGACATCTATTAAAATTTGGATTATTTATAAAATAAAAGGTATGGAATTTGCAATCAAATTTACCTTGCCCATCTCACGAAGGGTCCAACCGGTTGCTTTATGTATCAGATCTTCTTTGTCATATAGTAGAGTACTGGCTAATTCAAGAGTATCTTCATACTCTCCGTGACTAATAAAATTTTGTGTGGCAACTATTGCAATTCTTCGATCCCAAAGTCGTGTCGATTTTACAAGTTTATCGAATAGCCACGAGCGTTTTAAATTTGGATTGTCTCTTAAATGTGCGCCTACTATTTGACTTGCGGACGAATCCACTAAATCCCAATTGTTGATGCCTTTCCTTTCCTCAACAAAAAAGTTAAAAATGCGTTCACGCATTACAAGATCATTGGAATTTTTATACTTTTCCTTCATATTGATAACCGCCAGCAATCTCTCCTCGTGATATTTTGATTTGATAAGGTTTTTTAGAACAAGAAAAGGAAGAAATCCTAAACTTTTCGACAATGCACGAATTTCTGGTGCCCTGACACCTATCAATACGTCTCCTTCACCATATTCCGCAATCCTAAGGTATTTTGCGAGATATGCAGCATATTTCTTGGAGGCCTTCGACAAAAGATAGGAACGGATATTAGAAAGGATCATTTCGTTCTCTCCGAAAATTTCGGAGTTTTTGACCAGTGAATCTTCATTAGTTGTATCGTCCGTATGCACGTGTTTCGTTGATTCCAAGATCGTTGTATCAAAGGCACGCTTAGGTGATGCTTCACGGTTAAAAGTGTTCTTTTCTTGACTCTTTTTGAATTTGCTACTTCGCGTCTCTACCATTTTTATGACGTATGAAATTGTTAGAACATCTATATTTTTATTCATTCAATTCCCGTAGTACAAGTATTTATAAAAGCAATACAGTATGAAACAAATAATAGTTTTAATTTACGAAACAAAAAGCAAATTTAATATATTTTTATATTGTTTTTGCTTTTAATACAAAAGATTTTAAAAATAAGATAAAGAGACAATTGATATTATTGGTTTTATTGAATTTAATATTTATACTTATATATTTAAATAATTTTTTTTTTTTTTTTTTATAGTAGAATGGCATTAGATGCAGGTTTTTATTGTATATTCTTAGAATATTCTTATAAATAATGATATATTAAACATCCTCTATAATGTTATGACTATAGTTAAATGCTAACCTAATTATTTTTTGTACCTGAAAACACACTATTTACCCTTGAGATGTATCACATTGTTTTTAAGATAACCTATCTAGAAGATGAAAATCCTATCATTAGTTTAAACCATCCAACCTATTGGTTCAAATTTGTGTAAGAACAATAAGCTACTAATTATTTCTATAAGTTGCCTATTACAGTATATCTTTTTACTTACACAGTTAATATGGCAAAGTGTCTTTACGTAATGTATGTATATATATATATGGTAAGCTATCAGGAAGTTATATTATATATGATATTAGTATCAGTACAGTGTTTACTTCAAGGTTTCCTATATAATAACTAGTAAAAGATGAGAGATAGTTGATTAGAATTGATTAAGATGAAGCATAGTCCAGTCTGTATATTCAAATATACAAGGAGTCTTAATTAAAAAATTAAACAAATGTCTTAACTATACATGTTGCTGAAATTCATAGATCCTTGACGCAATTGACGCAATTATTTAACGCAATTAATTGAGTCACTATTAAAACATATAAATAATTGAGTCATTATTAAAACATATAAATAATTGAGTCATGGCACAATTATTTTTGAAGATTTTGGAAATTGAGTCAACAGCAAAATAATTTACGCCACATGTATAGTCTTAACTTTACTTGATTTAATCACTATAAGACAACTTCTAACAATCATTATAATACCAATTAGATGATCATCACATTACAGTACTTTTCTTGAAGGTCACAATTTCAATGCTTGCTAGATTAGCATATAAATTGGCTTTATATAAGAAACAGTATATAATAGGTTATGATATCAGATATCATATTAATACTATTTAACTGCCTTTACTTGAAGTTAAAATAATATCTTGTAATTTGATCTGTAGAGTACTAATCACTATACTATAAACCTATAAGTTTATATTTAAATAATTTTATACAATGATTTATTAAAATATTATAAATATTTTTTATTTGAAATTAGATAAGTAAATATAATATAAAATTTTTGTTACATATTTAATAAGTCTTATAATATAAAATATAGTTTTATTAAATTGTACAAACTTATTGTTTTAAATTTTATTTAAATATTATATGAATTAATATATAGCAAAACCATACTTTAAAAAGTTTTAACAAAAATTAAAATTTTTAATAGGTTATACTTCCAAGAATATCTTTTATCTGTGATAAAAGTTTGGATATATATTAATATATATATATGTTGCTGAAATTCGTAGATTCTTGACACAATTGACACAATTATTTGACATAATTAATTGAGTCACTATTAAAACATATAAATAATTTAGTCATGACGCAATTATTTTTGAGGCTTTTGGGAATTGAGTCAATAGCAAATAATTTATACCACATGTATATTAATATATTACAATCTTATGCACAGTTTTTTAATTTTATATAGCTCAATATATAAATTTAAATTGATAATTGTTGATATCTCCAAATAAGAATGTTGTCTCAAAGCATATTTTTGCTATATACCAGTCTATATAATATCTAAATAATATTAAAAATAATATGTTTATATAATAAAATAATCAAATAAAGTTTATTTTTTTACAAATAATAAATAATGATTATAATCTAAACAAAAATAAAAAATTTATAATAATTTATAATTATCAATAAAAAATTTTAATTTATATTAATGCAATTATTAAGTTTATTATATAAAATATTATAAATAGATTCTATTAAATAAGTATTATTAAAATAAAATAAAAATAATTAAATATCTTAAAATTTTTTTTTATAAATTTAAAAAAATTAATTAATAATAATAATAATACTTTTTTTTTTTTTAAACTTAATCAGGTTGATATCATTTATTTATTAAATCAAATGAATTATTACAAATAAAAATTATATATATAAATTTCTCTGACCCAGCTCATATAGTCTGTGGTCTCCCATTTTTTGCACTATAGGCATGTTTTGTCTTTGTATAGGTTAGGTTTTTTTTCATTCAGTCTGCTTTTAGTGGGCAGCTTATTATTGAACAGTTTATATCTAAATACTCTATTATTGTGATCCTGTTGACTAGTATAAAAGCTTGTAATTTTTGATGAAGAGAGGCTTATCCATGTCCTTTTTTGGTCTATTATTTTCTTCTTTTTTGCATTAAGCCAAACTTTATATCTCCTTTGTGTAGCTGTCTGCTGGTTCATTTGCTATTCTGCTATTGCTTCATAAACTCATTAGTACCTACAGTATAGGATAAAAATAATGGCACTTTTTATTTATTTTTTTTTTTTAAAGTAGATAAACACCAATTCTTTATTTATTCGTATATTACAAGGTATACATTACAAAAGAATCAACATCTCTTGGGTGCGTAGCATACAGCAAGTTTAATGCTAGCCTACCTACTAAAACTATAAATAGCTAATACTGAAAAAGACATTTTAAAACAATATTGTTGTTAAATATAGGCCAAGTAGTAGCTATGCTTATCTACTTAGAAAAAAATTTTTTTAAGATATAAAGAGAATTTGATAGGAAAAAAAATTTGAGAGGAAAAAAAATAAAAGCAACTAAAACTAAAACGAAATCTAATAAACTATAAAATCTATGAGAAAAAAAATTGTATTTCCAAGAGAACCTCTGGCCAGGCTCGTTGTTTTGTTTCTCCAGTTCTTTGCAACTTGTAAATATAATCTTCATTAACACGAATAATGGAGTATATAAGATTTGGCTTGTCATTGTAGTTGTTATTGTTATTGTGTTGATATGGTAAGTGGTTGGTAAACCGAAATCAAATAAACTATAAAATCTATGAGAAAAAAAATTGTATTTCCAAGAGAACCTTTGGCCAGGCTTGTTGTCCTGTCTCTCCGGTTCTTTGCAACTTGTAAATATAATCTTCGTTAACACGAATAATGGAGTATATAAGATTTGGCTTGTCATTGTGGTTGTTGTTGTTATTATATTGATATGATAAGTGATTGGTAAAATGATTGGTTTATGAATTGGTGATATGATTTTGTTTTGGTTATAGTTACCAAAACTGGATTTGTTTATGTTGATCATTATGAGGTGTTTTGGTTGTACAAGTTTGTTTTAATATTTGGTAGTATTTGATTGGTTGGTTTTGAGATGATGATCCATTAACAGGAGTAAACTGATTACGGTTTTTTGGTGAGGAATTTTTTGAGTAGAAATTTTTGAATTTTTGTGACACAGCATGTTGTGCTGAGCGATAGTGAAGAGTGAGTATTGTATATACTGCTGGTGCCCCAAACCAACAATATAAACAA